CTCTCTCTCTCTCTCTCTCTCTCTCTCTCTCTCTCTCTCTCTCTCTCTCTCTTTTTTTTTTCTTTTTTTTTCGTTATTTTTTTCCCGTTTTTTTCGTGCCTTTCACGTCAATGTTCGGGATGCCTGCGCCCGGTAGTCCGAGCCTCGGCACGGATCGGCGTACCGGTCGGCCGAGGCTCGGACTCGATAGCTGGGCCAGGTACTGGTGGTTTAATAAGAAAACCCCTGTGGGCTATCCGAGAGGCCCCTACAAAGAATTAGCAAGGTCCTCCTCACCATGAACGAGGCAATGCTCATACCCACACTAGGGTCATGGCACGCCAAGTATATATGGTGTTGATTCACATTACGGTCCGTGTTTCGGCAGTTATGGGACCACTGAGCACGCGGACAGTAGCAGGCCAACTCACCACGTGCTTTTCAGGGCTTCCCTCCACTACTCACCAAATGTGCAAAACTAGAATGAATCTTCTGCTAGAACATGGAATCATACACCGCCATATGTTTTGTCTTTTGTGCAAGTGGTGACGAGTGGAGCAAGGCCCTTAGGGCCACTGCTCGTAAAAAAACAAAAGAAAAGAAAGAGAGAAGCTCAGAGAACCACCAAATGTGCAAAACTAGAATGAATATTCTGCTAGAACATGGAATCATATGCCGCCATATGTTCTGTCTTTTGTGCAAGTGGTGACGAGGAGGAAGGCCCTTAGGGCCACTGCTCGTAGGAAAACGAAAGAAAAGAAAGAGAGAGCTACGGTAGTAAGTAGTTGTAACTTGTAAGTTGTAACCCATAACTGCTGGAAAACAGACCATGCGTGCACTATGCGCCGTACGTGCGGAGCTCGCGTGCACGCGATGCGCTGCAGGTATGGTCTGAATGCATCCCCTATTGAATCGGTCACAAAAGGAAGCAAAAAGAGGAAGTTAAGATACAATGTATTCGAAAAATGTGAATCTAATGTAATCCTCGACGCAACAGATAGATAGGCCAAAATACAACACCCTACGTTGAGCTCATAAGGCCTAAAAAAGAGGTTTGCGGCATCCGAGGAAAAAG